GGGATTTGGGGAAAAATAGAGCAAATGAGGGGAAATAAGTGGGATTTGGGGGAAACAGAAAATGAGGTGGGGAAAGGGGGATTTGGGGGAGAAATGAGCAAATGAGGGGAAAAAAGGAGAATTTGGGGAAAAATAGAGGAAATGATGTGGGGAAAGGGGGATTTTGGGGAAAAATGAGCAAATGAGGGGGGAAAAAGTGGGATTTGGGGGGAAAATGAAGCAAATGAGGGAGAAGGGAGAGGATTTAGTGGAAAAGAGAGGAAATGAGGGGAAAATAGGGGGGAATTGGAGAAAAACAGAGGAAAAGAGGGGAGGAAAAGGGGGAGGATTTGGTGGAAAAACAGAGGAAATGAGGGGAAAATGGGGGGCATTGGGGAAAAACAGAGGAAAAGAGGGGAGGAAAAGGGGGATTTGGGAGAAAACAAAGCAAATGAGGGAGAAAGGGAGGATTTGGGGGAAAATGAAAGCAAATGAGGGGGGGAAAAGAGGGATTTGGGGGAAAACAGAGGAAAAGAGGGGAAAAGGGGGGATTTGGGGGAAAACAGAGGAAAAGAGGGGAGGAAAAGGGGGAGGATTTGGTGGAAAAGAGAGTAAATGAGGGGAAAATAGGGGGGGATCGGGGAAAAACAGAGGAAAAGAGGGGAGGAAAAGGGGGATTTGGGAGAAAACGAAGCAAATGAGGGAGAAAGGGGGGATTTGGGGGAAAACCAAAGCAAATGAGGGAGGAAAAAGAGGGATTTGGGGGAAAACAGAGGAAATAAGTGGTTTAGGTGAAGGTGGCCTGAGGACCTCGGTGGCCACCTACCTTGACCTTGCTGGGGTGCTCCTGGCTCATGCTGATGAGGTGGCCGTAGACCTCCAAGGTGACGGTCTTGGTGAAGGAGACGGCTTTGCTGCCCCGGTTGTTGTTCTCCACCGTGACGGTGAAAGGGACCAGTTGGGGGTCCCGGGAGCAGAGGGCGGCGAACTGGTAGCGGCAGGTCCCTTGGAAGTCGTACTTCAAGCCGTCGAAGGTGGTGTAGTGGGGGTCGCCCGTCCCGATGCAGGTGAAGAACTTTTGGGGGCGGCAGGCGGGGAGGCCGCCCTCCTCCACCACGCACTTCTCGTGGGCTTTGCACCCGGACTTCTTGCAGGCCACTTGGCCACCGGCCTGGCATCGGCACCTCCTCTGGCAGCTCCCGTCCTCCCAAAACTCCTCCTGGACCTTGTAGGAACGACCCTGGTGGTGGCAACCGCAGGTCTCCGCCGGGACGCAGGTGGCGTTGAGGAGGAGGAAGCCTTCGTCACACTGGCAGCCGGAGGAGCAGGGTCGGCTGCAGGAGGTGGGGGCTTTGGGGTTGGCGCAGGTGGCCGGGCAGGAGGTCCCACAGGCCTCAAAGTGGCTGTTTTGGGGGCAATTTTGAGCTGTGGGAGGGATGAGATTGGGGGAAGAAGGTGAGAATCTTCTCCACAGGGCAATGCAACGAAGGAGTGGAGAACTTCTAGTTTGGAGAACTCATCAGGCTCCCACGTTGGCTGGGTTGGGGCCTACAAGAGACTCAGAGGCACTGAGACCCCCCCCCCCGTGGGGGTGTCCCCCGAGAAAGGCCCCACCTAATTTTGTGTGCTACGGATGTCTCGAGTCAGACAAGGTGCGTTTTGGGGTGGTTTGGTGCGAAAAGAGCAACACAAATCCTTCCCCGAGACTGGAGTTGTCAGTTGATGCCTCCAACCATCGACTTAGTGGGGTGGGGGGCAACTCACAGGCACTCCCAGCCGGGTTCCCATGTGGGGAACACCTTCTTCCTCCCCCCAAATATTTGGGGACACCCCTCTTCCCCCCCAATATGAGCTCACCGCATCCTGCTGGGTCCTCCTGGTCTCCACAATCGTCCCGGCAGGAGGGATCTCGCCAGCTTTCGGCCCATTCCTCCAGGGTGGTGGCCCGAGTGCCATCGGGAAGGGTGGCCTCATCCTCGGTGTCCTCATTGAAGTTGCCGCAGAGGCCACAGGTGGCCCCGAAGTAGCTGCTGGGGACGGCCACCATCACGGCCCACTCGTCGTCGTAGGTCACCTGCAGCCCAAAATCCGTCTGAAGGACGACGCGACCCTCGTGTCTGGAGATCCGGATCTTCCCCCCATCCAGGGTGGCCGGGAGGTTGGTGGGTTTGTCATTGACCTTTTTTGCCGGGGGAGGGAGGAAAAAGGAGTAGGAGAAGGATTTAAATCTCAGCTTTGCTGAGAGTTCACACATAACCCCCCCCCCGCCCCCCCCGCAC